GTCTGTAAGTAGATGGACGGGTCTCATCCGGAACCTCCGTATCTTTTCAAGTGTAAATACGCGACGACTACACTCGGACATGCGTAGATGGCACGATTCACCCTCGGTGACTTATTGCGCGTGCGTCATATTGTGATCCAGGGAAAGATTGGCTTGGGGCTCCACCCATAGAATATGATCCGGGGTGCAAAGGCATAGCTCTGTCTCCTTTGGCGACTGACGTCTTCTCTCTTTACGCGAGCAGCTGCACAGGCGCATATTGTTCATTGGTTAATAAATCAATATACCTACCTAAAGGGATACCGTACGACATCATACGTTCCTCACATTTCACTTTTGTAAGCAGAACATTTTGCCAACCGCTGAGGATTAATTATTGTATTTAATTTATTTTAGTTGAATATTCACATTTGGACACTTTTATAGTCAGTGACGAGGATTGCACCGAACGATATCAATTTTCCAAAAAAGACAGAACTTGTAATATAACTATTACTCAATCTGGTAAGTCATGTACTTGTAAAGTTGTAACAGCTAGGTCTTCAAGTTGATACCTAAAGATTCGATTACAGTGTTCGAATTTATTCACTATTAATACAATTGTCTTCAAGTTTATTCGCTGCTACCAAACTCACTCAATGTCGACCTAGGCTAGTCGAAATGAGAATTTTAATGCATGGTCAAAAATCTTGACAATTTTTAATGAAATGTTACTCATGAGTTGTTGCTTAAACAAATTATATTTACTAAAAATATACCTATACGCAATATAAATTTTTATATGCTTTTAAACTTCTCAAGTTTAAATCTTAACAAAATACGTAAAAATAACAAAAACTTTCAAATTATATTCTATCTACATTAAAACCCATACAGTTTTTAATTTGGTAACAACAATTTTTTACTATTAGTGATTTGTTTTTCTATATGTAGTACGGTATGTCGAATTAATTTTCGACAGTAAAACCACATATACATAGCTGGCAAAGTGGGTCAATGAGAATAGGTTAGCTATATTCCTATACGGGGAACAAACTTTCTATATCAACGCAAGGCTGAAGTAAAATTGATAATGTAAATGTATACCTACATTTTAAACTAAAATAATGACTTTTAAAATAAATCTATTTTGGTGTAAAATACAATATGGTTAATAATAAACCATTGGTTATTTAGAAACAAAAATATTTATTAATATCTATCATATGATCTTTTAATACGTGTGACTGTGTAAGTTATTCATTTATTATTATAATTTATAATTATCATTTTATTCGTTTATTAATCAATAATCCATTGTATATAGGGTTATCATATGGTATCGCATACGCGTTTAATGTTTTTACAAAACAATTATCCAATTATTAAGGATTAATGCTTATTTATTTTTGTTGAATATTTAGATTTACGCAATCATGCAGTGACGAGGATTGCACCGAACGTGATCAATTTGATGAAATAGACATTACCTACTCGTAATATTACTATATCTATAACTGGTGAGTCTTATACTTCAGTACTTGTAACAACTAAGTAGGTAGTTACTAGGTAGTTGATAATAAAGTTGATACCTAATGCATTGGTTACAACTTACAGTGCAGGTAAGGCTCTACTTATTATAATGGGTATGCTATGCCACCATTTTGCAACTCATTTATTAATAATAAAATGATAAAAAAGGGGAGAAAATTCATATTCACATAAAATTATTAATCGCAAAATGGCGGCGTAGCATACCTAGTATCTATATATTGTCCTAACAGTGAGTGAAGGGTGAATTAACTTGTTACTAGCCGTCGAGTTTATTCACTCCTACCAAACTAGGTCAACGAAATATGCTTAGTCACCCGTAGTATGGATTGATCACTCAATTGATTAAACATTTTTTTTTTCATAAATTGGAATACACACCGAATGACAAAGATAAACTAAATATAAGCATTAAAATGGGAAGGTAAGAGTACCTACTTAAAATATTTATTAGGAAATATGTAATCCATATATAAAAAAGTGGGTATCGCTCTGCAGTACAGTAGGATACAAGTGGATCGCTGTTGTGGATGGTGTTTAATTTGAATTTAATGATATAATATCATTGTATACGAAAAACGATTCTGAGCGGAGACGGATTGTCAGTCAAGGATATTTTATATTATATTATTATTATTAATATGGTAGCCGATGATTATTATTATTAGTTTATTAACTTACTTTTATATAATAATATACTTAAAAACATTCAAGTACCCACGAATAATATTTTTAAAATATAACACAAAACTAAAATCGTTCTTCTTCGTTTAAATATCTAATTTTGTCCAAATTGGAATGAAGAGTAACTATACAAATGCCTTCGTTAACCTTGTTTTAAATTTTAAATCTTTAGCTATAAAAGTTGTAAATTTTATATATTTTTAACTACGAAATCGTTTTTTAATTTTGTTAAACTTAAAATTATTTTTTAATTTGTAAAACTTTAAAAAAACACACCAGTTTTTTTGATCTTTTGAAATTATTGTAGAAGAACTGGAAGTAATAGATAAGTACTGAGGATTTGACATATTAATTGGTAAAGGACCACTGTAATGTTGTTTCTTATAAATCCAAGTATTCTCAATTGCACTTGGTACCTTTATAATTTGTTTTTATTTCTTCAACTCTGCAAATAATTTATTGCAGTGGTTTATCATCCTTTCTAATCATTTTCTTAACTTTTTGCATATAGTTTACGAATTTAAATGTTGAGAAAGACTCCAATGTCCCATAACTTAGTACATCAGTAAATTTTTGGGAGTATCGGATAAATTTAGTTTGTTTAATCAAACTGTAAGTACAAAGTATTCGAATTTCTACATGCAGTGTTAAGAAGTTTAAGTATACATCACTATTAACATTACACTGCGGTACTACAGGCAGAGTATATAATAATAATTGGCAAAATTTGGTTGCTTTCCACTGTTTCCATTTAATTAATGATCGTGGTTGCTTTTGAAATTCAATAGGAACATACATTCAAATATTTTTTTCGATGGACATTGAAATGTTTTTTAGTCTCTTAAAATTTAATCTAACATTTAAACTACCACAATTATTCTAGGGTTATTTGTTAACATGTAGGAGAAACAGCTAGGACCGGTCGGAACGTAGCTATGGTTTTTATCGTCGAACAACGTACGACTTCGCCGTTACTAAAAAGAAATTTACGCCCGACTCGATAATTATTCCTTCAATCAATAATTCCTATTATTTTTTCACGTTTAGGTACATTTATATTTTTATATAGTTTTTTTTTTTTATAATATCTGTTCGGTTTGCAGTGCGTTGCAGAATGAACTTATTTCACGAATTGTTGTCATACATTATTAGCTTGCTAATTTCGTATCACAAATTGTGTGTTATTTTTGTTTATCAATATTATATTAAATTATTGTTCGTAGTTTTCGTTTGCTGCTAATGCGGCAACACATTAATTTATTATATTTCATTTGTTTTGTCACCTCAACAAATATCACAATTATACCGGCTGAGTCATTGTGACCAGAAGTATTCCAATAAACATACACTATTACCGGCAACTAGACGTGAATTTTATCTTATTTTGTGTGTGTATTATTCTCGTCGTGTACTTATTACAAAAAATTCGTCATCGAAACGAACATTGGACGGTGCTCCTCCATCGCCCTAGATCGTGCCAGATGCCAGTACTTGTCAATACTATTTACTATCTATACTCATTGCGACAAGTGGTTCCAGTATTCACTGCGTAAAACCACCAGCATCCTCCACGGTGTGTGGGAGGCCGCCAAGGTCTTCGTGTCTGTCTACCGTGGTTCATTATCAGTTTAATTACCATTTACCTCATCCATCATCGTAGTACATTTAAGTCTAGTTCTTAAGTATCGGTCCAATTTTTGTGCTCTCGGTGGTCATTGCACCAAACCGATTTCGACCACGGAGACATCCCAGCTAATAACTAAACTCATCTTCCCTATTCCCGTGTATAACTTCAACTTTCTGCTTCCCCGTAGTCGTAAGTCTATTATGATCCCCTCCTGTCATCTTCGTTGTCGTTGTCGTGTCTAGTGTTGAGTGTTGGTTTCAAGCAGGGCACGTTGCGTTGCCTATCCACACCCCTGAATATCAAATTGTGTCATCACTCTACAAGGTACTATTATTCACTTTTACAGTAAAAAAGATATATAACACAACATCTATCAGGGTAATCGCCTGGAATCATAATTTATGCCCAACGAAAAAACAGATCAAAATGTGGCAAACTGATAATTGTATTACCAAACATTTTTTTTTTTGTATTTTGTATATTGTTCTAAATAATCTATGACTGTTACCCCACTGCAATAAGTAAGTCTTAATCTTTAGGTTCTCAAATAGTCATTGTTTGGCTATATTAACTGGCTATTGCTTTTCTATTTATATCTAATATATGAAAATGTAATACAAGATTCCCCTTAAGTTTTCTTGTATTTAACGTAAAAAAAAACTCTACTGGAATGTTATTGAATGTTATTGAAAAATGAATGTTATTTTCCTGAAAACTTTTTGTTTATGGTGAATAAATTTGTGTGGAATATTCTATTAAAAGTACTAATATGTAACCTATGGAAAGAAAAACTTTTATGCATTTTGTCAAAATCTGAACTTAAAATGCATACAACAATTAATAATTGTGCCCATGTATCTTTAATATTTTTGAACTTTCGTTAGAGAAACTCATATAAAGAGCCTTGCATTAAATTTTCAAGCATTTTTACTAAGTGAAAACGTTTTTATAGAGAAAAATTTTTAAAATGTCTTAAGACCATAATAATTAGCTCAAAAAGAGTCAACGTGGATGTTCAATCATATTATTTTTTTTTTATTGATATTGATATTGATTTTATATCTATAATAATATATTAATATGTTTTGTATATTATTTGTTTACAGGTCGCCCAAACTATCTTCTGATCGTGAATTGTTTGTGCCAAACAGTCGCGATCATGGATAACGCCAACACACCGTACGCCGTATTCAGTCTGGCCATGACGGCGTACCGCGCCAGTAACGAACCCCAGCGGGAAAAGTACGACAGGATGGAGGTGCCAAACTTGGACTTGCGCGAATGTTGCATATCACTGTTCGAAATCGTTGAACTAAACTCGGAAAACGGCAATTTTGACCCGCATGGCGACAGGATGTCCGTGTTTGCCAAGGTGGTCCAGGCCGACAACGAACGCTTGGAACGGTTCAATGACATCTGTGCAGTGGCCGCGTATTACGGGCACATAAACTGCCTGAGGTTCTCCCACGAGATAGGCTGCCCCTGGGATGTGACGACCTGCAACAATGCAGCCCACGAGGGACATCTGGAGTGCTTGGTTTATGCGCACGAGAGGGATTGCCCCTGGGACGCGACGACTTGCATGAACGCGGCCAAAGAGGGACACCTGGAGTGCATCGTATACGCACGCAGTAATGGGTGTTTATGGGACGAACAGACGTGCAGCATGGCGGCGGGCAGCGGCCACCTCGAGGTACTGGAGTACGCGCGAGACAACGGATGTCCATGGGACGGGACGACGTGCAGCGAGGCAGCAAAGAATGGCCAAATCAGGTGTCTTGCGTACGCCCACATTAACGAATGTCCATGGGACGAAGCGACTTGCAGCTTGGCGGCGGGCAGTGGCTACGTCGAGGTACTCGAATACATGTACGACAACGGCTGTCCACGAGACAAAACTGCATGCTCCATGGCCGCTCAGTACGGCCGGCTAGATTGCCTTGTGTTCCTACACAGTACCGATTGCCCTTGGGACGATGATACTCCCCGATCGGCCGCGGCTGGTGGCCAATTGCACTGCTTGGATTACGCGTTTAAAAACGGGTGCCCGTGGACCGAATCAACTTGCTCCGCGGCAGCGGAGGCGGGTCACGTGGATTGCCTGATATACGCACACCAACAAGGATGTTCTTGGGATGAAGCGACGTGCGCGGCCGCAGCGAACAATGACCAAATTGACTGTCTGATATACGCACATAATAATGGATGTCCGTGGGACCAGACAACTTGCAGAATGGCGGCGGGCAGCGGCCATCTCCGGGTACTCATGTACGCCCGAGAAAACAACTGTCCGTGGGACGAATCTGTGTGCGCCGAGGCAGCGAAGGGTGGCCAAATCGATTGCCTGGTGTACGCACACAATAACGGGTGTCCGTGGGATGAGTCGACGTGTACCATGGCGGCGGGAAGTGGCCAAATCTGGATACTTTTGTACGCGCGACAGAACGGATGCCCGTGGGATGAAATGGCGTGCTCCGAGGCATCGGCGAATGGCAGGATTGACTGCCTCGTGTTCCTGAATAGAAACGGGTGTCCCTGGGACTACCGTACTACCCAACGTGCCTCGGCTAATGGACATCTGGACTGCCTGGAATATGCATGGGACAACGGGTGCGAGTGGGACTCGTCTGTGTGCACATTTGCTGCGAGACGTGGGCACTTCGATTGCCTGGTATACGCGTTTAACAATGAATGCCCGTGGGACGAGCTGACGTTCAGCCATGCGGCGGCTGGTGGCCACATCAGGGTACTCGAGTTCTTGCGAGAAAACGGATGTCCTTGGGACGAGACAACGTGCTCCGAGGCAGCGATATACGGTAGAATGGAGTGCCTTATGTACTTGCACAGTAACGGTTGTCCGTGGGACGACAGCACTCCCTCGTCGGCCGCGACTGGTGGACATATGGACTGCCTGATATACGCGAGGGAAAACGGGTGCGAGTGGACCGAAACAACGTGCGCCGCCGCGGCACAGGAGGGCCACTTAGACTGCCTGATATATGCGCACAGTAACGGTTGTCCGTGGGACGAGCAGACGTACAGCATGGCGGCGAGTAACGGCCACCTAAGGATACTCGAATACGCTCGAGAAAACGGATGTCCGTGGGACGAAACGGTGTGCTCCGAGGCGGCGGACAACGGCATGCTAGAGTGCCTTATGTTCCTTCACAGAAACGGATGTCCCTGGGACGTCGAAACGACCCGGTCGGCCGCGTTCAGTGGGCATCTGGATTGCCTAGCATACGCTCACGAGCAAGGGTGCCCGTGGGGACTCGTTTACCGTGCTCCGACGCTGCGAAGAGCGGCCATATGGATTGCTTGCGGTACGCGCACGAGCAAGGATGTCCCTGGAACGAAGTCACGTGCGCCGACGCCGCGGACAGTGGCAACCTCGAGTGTCTCAAGTATGCCCATGAAAATGGGTGTCCATGGGATAATACAACGTACACCAATGCGATGAGTACGTCTGAAAATGGAGACTCTGCGTGTTTGAATTACTTCCTTCAGAACTCAAGTTTTCTCATTTGATTATTATATATGCTATGCTCATTGCTCGATGTTATGTTCTTCAACAAGTGGTTCGTGTATTATACGTGTGTGTTTTTTTTTAGCATTTATATTGGGTACCTAACATCATCAGAACGTACAATGAGTATTATATTATATATTATGATTTGGTGCAACCACCTCTAAGGGCAGGTATAAAAGTACAGTTTTAAAATTGTTATTAGAGTAGAATTTTTTTATTTTACACAAATACAGACCAAGGTCCAAGACTCGAAAACATTGAGTAATAGTACCATTTATATTTACAATAATAAGAAGTTTATATAAATAATTAGACGTGGAATAACGTTGCAAATGAAAAATGAATGTGACAGGAGCTCAATTGAAAAATGTGGTATCCGGGATTGATCAATAATATTACACGGTCCCGGCTGTCTATGTTGTGTTGTTGTGTGTACATTTTATTATTCGTCTCGTAATTACTTATTCGTAAATGCAATTGAATGCATGTATGTCTAATAACAATGTATAATAAGAAGACTTGGCAATTAAGCCTCTTTGTTTTTATTACAGTTCAATATAGATATTGGTTTTATATAATAATAAATAGTGTACTGATTTACAACAGATTTGAAAATAACATCAAAATATGACTAGTATGGGCTGATGTACAACAGTTTTGCAATTTAATAAAGTAATATTAATATAGCTGAATTACAATATGCATACTCGGAATTCAATAAAATATAATAACTTTGGTACTCATAGATGTGGTGTGGAGCGTAGACTGGCCAGTGTACTACCTGTTACAAATTACAATAATTTCACACAGCAGTACAAAATACATACATAGGTTAAATAATATTTGAATAAATCACATAGAAAGCTAGTTACATAATAATAAAGGTATACATGGTATTATGTGATATTTTATACATAATAGTATAATACTCCAATTTTCTTCGCTCGCTATTTGGCAGAGCACACTGTTCGTTTATACAATTCAAAAGCTATATACTTTCTGCACGGAAGATAATAATATAATGCTCGCTATAAGGCAGAGCACACTATTAAACAAAGAAAACTAATACCTAATAAATTGTCTTATGACTTGGCTGCATATAAAAATACACACAGAAAAAAAATACAACGCTTATATTGTGACGTTTGTGTGTACTGACTATTTGATACATACTTAATATTCAAATTAAAGAAATACTTTTATGATTTTCTAACAAAAAAATAATTTACTAATTGAAAAAATTTTCATAGCTATAATAAGTAGGTAGCTCAAAAAGCGTCAAAATAGTTTGAAAATTTGTCATGTAGAAATGCTAATACCAAAATTTGGTGAAAATTTCAAGTGCAGATGGTTATAAGTTATTGACACCCACTATGGCACCAACATACACCAACTCAATTACAATTTATCATTTATAATATGTATATGATTTTTTATACAACCATTTTAATAAATTACTTAACATATAAAATTTCAAAAAATTCAAATTGAATTAGACCGGTAATCCTCAGCCTTGACTAAAGTGGTCGATATTCAATTTTTTTACTTGTTCGTACACATATTTAATAATAATGAACATAATAATATGGTTATAAGGTCAATAAATCCAAAATATTATTTTATTCTAATATAATTAGTTTAGTAATTATGGGTTACTTATTGAAAAATGAAAAAAAAAAATGTAAATATACAATATATTTTTAAATATTAACAAAGTATATTCGCAAAGGGCTAGTTCTCGTATGAGGATAGTATATAACACTTTTTACACTTTACATGCATTTTAGGTCTCAATCCGGGCCTGAATATAATATCAACAATATTATAAATTCGTAACTAACGGACGGAAAAAACGGGGATATAGTGTTCTTTACTTGAGAAATATAAGTAAAAAAAAATCACTAAAGTATACTTCTGGCCATTCATTGTAGTTATTACTTATTGCCATAAAGTAACATATCAGCCAAATACCATGACAACCCACTTGTATTTATTTCCTTTAGTTTTGAATACAATATAATATTTTACTGTATTACGTTTTATTATGTTATGTACTTGTTAATTGATTATAGTTCAAGATGTTTAGCTTTATAATGCAAATATTTTTAACAATGGCCTTTCAATTGGCTTTATTAGTCCGGCTAATAGTAAGTAATAATATTTCTTAGCTTATATCCTTGCACTTATAGGGAGCACAACTGAGGAGGTAGGTACTCACTTCCCACAGGACCTCACAAATAATCTAACGACTGATAATTTTATAATGCTATTAAACATTTATAAATAATACAAAATCACATAAAATATTCATTTTTCAACAACCCGTAAAATGATAAAATGTATTTTATAAAAATATATTATTATTATAATATTTTGTACCTACGTCAAGTATGTTAATTTATGAATGTGTATTTATACAGAACGGGCAATATACGTTGAATGTCGAAAGAAAAATTACAAATAAATATAAACCTAATTATCATGACGATGTACTGGTTGAATTGTTATACGACGTAGATGATCTCTTGTTGCCCAACGTGAGCTGATAGGTGATAAGTGTTTAGCGCAATTTACCGAATAATGCTTTAATGTTTAGCCAATTTACGAGTCCTCCGAAATGGCTGTCCTTCGTAAGGAGAATTTATCAAATTTACCGTCTCCTTCAGTTGGCATAGACGGATTGGTGCGGCACGGGTACGTCTTCAACAAGGAGGACGACGAAAAAATATATGATGCGAAGTTCATTGAAGCGTCGAAAATGGCTGACGACATTTTCTCAGAGGTATAACATGGTAGTATTGTAGGTACCCACATGTTTTATTCGTTACACTTGTTAGGTACCTACCTACTTCTTTATACTACCTATATACCAATTATCAGTGTTTTAAAATTGGAGGGCAGAGTCGCGTATCGTTGTTTATATCTCCATATAAAACTATAGTTCTAACCGTCCAGATTGTTTTACACTGAAGTTGAGTGACTGAACTCATTAATTCTATACTTAACACAAATTATTGGTACACACAAGGCCACAACTTATTACGTCTCATTCATTACTTTTTACCGATTTAAGTACTCGTGGTCGCAAGGATAACTAAATCTTGGTTTTAAATTCACTCCACATAGATATAATAATCAACGATAGCAAGCTAATGATGTAGGTAGGTATAGTATAGGTACCTACAAGTTCTTGAATTTTTTAGCAAATTTTTGAAAAAAAATGTGTTTGAACTTTAATTTAATAATATTATATTAATGTGTGTGTTTAGTTGAAAAATCTAAAGGAAGACTGATCAAAAGAAGTAAAAATACACATTTCATAGACATTATTGCCTTCAGAGTCTGATGAGTGACATACAATTGCATTGGCGTGACGACATGAAAAATACAACAGGAATGAATATTTCTAATTCACAAAATCCCATACCTATTCTATAATATAGGTACCTACTTCAAATTATCGAATGGTTTAATGATATAGGTATATTAGGTATAAGTTATATGAATTTAATCTATATAATATTCTATGGTTATAGGTACTGTGTTGTCACTAAATTGTCTTTCGCTGATATTAAATTTGAATACATTTTGAGCTAAAATCTTTACTTTAGAATGTAAAAGATAGGTAGTAGCTAGTTTTAAACGATGTATAATTGTTAATTTTAATTGCAAATACAATAATATTGCTATTTTTATGTTACAGAAGTTATAAGGAGCAAACATAGACAATGTTTAAATCTATCTACTAGATATATTACATTCTACATAAAACATTTCAACTCAAAATGTATCCAAAATCGAAATTTAATATCCCTGAAAGAAAATTAAGTGATTACACGGTACAACCATAGATTACATAGATTAAAATCCTTATATTGTACTAAATATATTATACTTACCTAAGTATGATAATATATCATTATAATATACTACTTATTCAATAATAAACTGCAGGATGGCTCTGTGATTGGTGAAATGGGGAGTTCAACCCTACTGTCTTTACGTATCTCCACGATCATGCATTTTTTTAGTCACCTAGACTCTGAAGGCGATAATTTGAGAAATTTGTACATCCGCCAGACTTATCGGTTTGGTAGAAGAGCTGCTGACTGGAGATTAGTCATGTTCAATGTCCATATACCTATGAAATTATGTTACGCACTGCAGTGCAGTTTATACTCAAATATTCGGAATGAGATTGTATTATATGAATACTAAAATAACATTCAATTGTTTTAAACGCATATTTTACTATAGAGTTTTGAATTATCGTTCATTACAAATAAAAATTTACACGTTGTACTCGTATAATATGAACCTTCTGTATGGGTAATAATAACATTAATAACACATTTTTAACAAAATAAATTACATAGGTAGCAGCCCCTATTTTTCAGTGAACCCATACACAAAGTGTGTAGTCTGAAATTGGAAGTATGCACTACGGACTTGAGAAGTGTGTACTAATAATTAAGACTATAAAAATAAATAGATTATAGTTTATAGATATTATGTAGTAGGTATACATACTACATATACATATAATATACTGTATATTACACTATCATAATTTATGTTTAAGTGTTGTGTATAATACAACAATTAACATTTTGAATTTTAAAAATGAAAATCTTTTATGATAGGTACCTACCAAAAATAAATTGTTTAAGTAATATTTTACCAAATAGTTCTTTATTTACTACTTCTCTACTTTGAACTGTGAATAGTGAACACGCCGGATAGTTATATTTTAGTTATATATTTTTAAATGTTATCGCTGTATAACGTATAATTTACATTAGCAAGGTATTTGATATGTATACAAAATAGTATAATATTATTAAATAATTACAACGATTAAACAAGTAATAACTAAAAATAATGAAATTACGGAAGGATAATTAAAAATGTGTCAAAATAAAATATGTAGGTATGTCTAGAATTTGAACCAATACATTTCGTTACATAATATAAAAAAGCATAGGTACTGTATCCCACAGTTGAAAGATAAAATGAGGTATAAAGAAAGAAGTTTAAAACACTGTTAAATTATATATGAAGGTGACCTTTAATTGTTTCAGTGGTACGATTTAATTCTCTTAAATTTATAAAAAGCTATGATTTATATTTTACTGCACAATATATCAGTTTAAATCTTAAGGGCGGCGGAGTCGGTGGTTTTTGGTACAAAAATATGTCTTACAGCAAAACTTTTACGACATGTAGAATAGTGGATTTCGTTAAAGATTTTTATGTATTTAAAAAGAGAAGATATTGCAGTCGGATCAAACCCTGATTTTTAAAAGTATAATTATAGAAGCTCAAACATGCATTTGAATAATGCACAATAATTATTCTTTTAAAACGTATTTTTCTACCACCAAGTTAAAGTAAAATTAAATTTCATCCTTTGATCTGACCTGAAAAAATGTTCTCTAATAGAAACCGAACAAGAATACCACTCACATCTCCAACGTTCCTCAAAAACATTCTGTGTCGTACTACGCCACTTCCACAATTCGACTAATAAAACAGATATCATAAACTGTCTAAGTGACCTCGGGCGCAAAGTAATAAGCATCACAAATATAACACACCGTAGTACTAGCAAATTTCCACTTCCACTATTTAACATCAGCCTAGTTCGCAACACCAAAAATCGTGAAATATTAAAAATCACCAAAATGTTAAACTCAATTGTAAAATTCGAATACACAAAGGAAAAACCACACCGCCAATTATAAAGGATGCCAAACCTTTAAAAAAATATTAAGTCGCATCAAATCCAAAACCGGAATGTTAAAATCAGTTTATCAACACATTCAAACACATGCTGTTCCATCTGCACCTCACAGAAGTAGACATGACGCGCTAAGCTCAAACCCAAAGGGAAAACTCTCATATGCCAAAGCCCACGAACACTCCGATCAACCTCTGCAAATCCTCACTAACTTCCTTAACGAGTTAAAATTAGTCCTAAACCTCCTCATAGCCACTCTAACATGCCTAATAAACAAAATCCCACAACTCATCTCTCCCACTCCTAAAGAATTAAGACGCATCACACAAATATGTAAATATATTATATATATTTTTCAATTAAACGGCTAAACTATGTAATTTGTCTAATATCACTAGATATAGATAGCTAACGGCTAGGAATGTCTCCATGTTATTAAATAAAAAATAAAAAGGTGCTCTGGCTGGTACAGCAGGTTAACAAGTGGCCAGTGGGTCACTGTATAATGGATGGTATTAAATTTGAATTCAAACGATATAATATCAATGTATAAGAAAACGATTCTGAGCGGAGACGGTAGGTTAGTCTAGGTATAAGACATATTATACATATCTATCGTGTTTAGGGTTGTAAATTTGAAATATTTCACTTGAAATATTTCAAAATTGAAAATTTCACTCTTCTTGAAATATTTCAATGAATTATGAAAATATTTTTTTTCTTTTAAACGTGTTTATAGGTGATTAGAAATAATATATTGATACAACACAGAAAACATTGATTATGAATAACTTATCAGTTAGGTATCATTTATCAACCAAGGTATACGAATTAAAAACCCTACCTAAATACTGTTAATGGTCAATAGTTATAAATTATAAATTAATAATTATATTTTTATATGGTATTTGTATATTGGTATTAATTTTTATATTTTTGTAGTCACTTATCAGTTACCACTTATCAATTGAATCCCCTATTGGCTATTAAACTATTTTTACCACTTATTACTTTATTACTAATAAAAATATAAATTATTAAATTATTACTTATTAGTTATTACTTATCACTCAGTAACATTGAAGTCTAGTGGCCATTTGCCAACAGGGATATGTTTAAAAAATGACTCAATAGATAAGATTATAAGAATATAAGATACTTATACATATTTATATAATATTATGACATAATAATATAATATATATTACAAATATATACAATATACATATTTGATATTATCAATCATGCAATTTTTCCCTGTTGGCATATGGCTGACTTCAAAATTGTCTTATAGTGGGTTATCTAGTTTTTTATATGTCTATGTTTGTGTATTTTTATGTATGTAGTATGTAACTATGTTACATATTTTCTTTATTTCATACAATAAACCAACTTTTAAAAATGTTCACTTGGAAATAAAAAAATATATTTTTCATGGAAATTAAATATTTCATGAAATTTTTCAAGAAAATAAATTTCATGAAATTTTACAACCCTAATCGTGTTAAAAAAAAATTACCTAAAAAAGGTACCTATAATAAATTCCAAATTAATCATATCACAATATCCATTAGGTACTTATAATGCGTTATACGTCAACAAAAAACCGTGATACTATCATATATATATATATTATATAATAGAACACTTTAGAAGTTTCAAGTACCCACGAATAATATTATACAATAACAACAAAAATACTATAATAGTTATCCTAGGCTTTTTATTATATTATAATTTCGTCCAAATTTGAACTTAAAATGACTATAAAAACCTGTGCTTGTGTATTTTTTAGATTTTTTCATAATAGAATAAGCTACTTACGTGAAATCTTGTTTCAAATTTTCAATCCTTAGATATAAAGGTTGAACATTTTATACATCATTAACTACAAAATAATTGTTCAATTTTAAATTTGATATATTTTGTCAAAATTCGATCTTTAAATTCGAATTTAAATGCTTAGAAAAAAAAATTGTGAATATGTATTTTTAATTTTTTTCAACTGATATTGTAAGAATATATCAGGAGCCTTGTATTAAATTTTTACACTTTTTGGCCCAACAGATAAAAATTTATTGATATTTATAGAATAAAAAACTAAAAAAATTGGAAACTGAAGATGTCCATAAACAGCTCAAAAAGAGTCAAAATATTTTCAAAATTGTATAGTGTATAGGAAATTCTAATATAAATATTCAGTGAAATTTTCATGTATGTACAGTTATTTGTTTTTGAATTACAACAAAATAAGGAAATCGCTACATGAGAAATCGAGTGAATATCCAATATTGTAAAAATTTGAATTTCAAACGCTCATAAAAATTTAATTTGACTTTCTTATAGACATTTATTTCTTAATAAAGGTAGATAATTTTATAAGGAATTTTGTATCACATTTTAAAATCTTAGTTTTAAAAAGAAAAATTTTTACGAATTCTTAACTCAAAATAATTTGCTAGTTTTCGTGATTTTTCCATATTTTGTCAATTTTTTTACTTTAAATGCTTATAAAAAAAAACTGTGACTAAAGATTTTTAATATTTTTCAAATACCATTGTTACAATATAGTAGGAGCCTTGTATAAAATGTTCAAGCTTTTTTAACCAACAAATAAAATTTTATTGATATTTTTAGAAAAAAACTAAAAAATAATGAAAAATGAAAATGTGCCTAAGGAGTTCAAAATAAATCAAAA